CGGCGTCAAACTAGTACAAACTTGGACACGTGTTATCCTGATCCTTACGGCTAAGACAGGTCATCACGTAGAATTTTCTTACAAGATGAAATTGGGCTGCGAGTCTGCGACCCAAGCTTGATGGGCTCTGATATTATGGATTAGGACCAAGAGAGAATTTTCTTGGAGAGGGAAATTATGCAGTGTTGGGAAATGAAGCATTGTTTATCAAATTACAGTAATGGCTACTAGTGAATTGAAAGGTATGTCAAATATGAAAAAGTGCAAGCTTTTGTTCGCCAAGCAAACATATTCTCTTGTGCGTGAGTGCAGCAACCAAAAAGCCTCAAGTGAATAATTTTGACGCAGGCTGCTATAGTTGCCTTTTAGCGAGCTTCTACGCTAGTACATGTAACATCATTCATAGACTTAACTCCTTCTGTACTGGTTGATGGGTTTCCAGCATCATAAGTTCTCTGTAACAAAAATGCAGGCTGTCTTGGTGAAGTAACTGCTGCATCATAATTCCCTAACATGAAAACAACTGCTGACATGGTTGGCCGGTCAGTGGCGTAGTCTTGCACACATGAGAGTGCAATTTGGATGCATCTCACAACTTCATTGACAGGGTACAATTCACCCAGGGATGGATCGACGATATCCAAGACTTTACCTTCTCTCCACAAGTTCCAAACCTAAAAACGATTTTAGATAATCAAAGTAAGCATAAATAAGTAGGGGAAAAACTACATTGTTTTCCACATAGCCAGTAAACTTACATGTCCAGCAAAATTAATTGCGTCGGGATACTTGTCGTGGCAATAACCAGAATTTTTTCTGCCAGTAACGATCTCTAGGAGTATAATTCCGAAACTATATACATCAGATTTCACTGAAAAATGTCCTTTCATTGCGTACTCTGGTGACATATAACCACTGCAGTAGAAAGAAAAGTGATTACGAAAGCGTAGATTCATTGATCTACATAATATGTTGAAATTAGCCTATGAATTGTATGCTCTTGTGACATGCACTATCAAGTATTCCATCAGTTGGTGGTCTTGTGAATCTAGAAACTATAGTAATATATTATACATTTGGAGAAAATTTTAACTTACTATGTTCCAACCACACGATTTGTATCCGCTTCACTTTGGTCTCCTCTAAATA